CTCAGAAACTACTCTGATACCTGGTAAATTGTGGAACCTCCTGTATTTGTTGAATGACAAATAAGTGTGTGTTTGTATGTACAATGTGTGAGAATTTGAATTCGAAATATACTAAAGAAGAATCAAATGGTGTTGGTTTGCCATGTGCCTTTCCATGAACGTAAACAATCAAAGGCTGGTTATGGTTATTAGGAAATGTTACCTCTGGGAGATGACTGCATTAGTTTCCTAGGGCTGCCCTCACAAATTACCATAAACTTGGTGACTTAAAACGACAAAAATTTATTCTCTTACAGTGCTAGAGTCCAGAAGTCTGAAATCAAGGTGTCAGCAGGGCTGTGCTCCCTCTGAATGCTCTAGGGAATTATCTTTCTTTGTCTCTCCTAGCTTCTGGTGGCTCCAGGAATTCCTTGGCTGTGGCTGCATAATTCCAGTCTCTATCTCTGTCTGCACATGGCCTTCTCATCTATGTATCTCCTAAAAAGACAGTTATCATTGGATTTAGGGCCTAGCTAGATTATCCAGGATTATCTTATCTCAATTTTCCTAATTTAATTACAGTTGCAAAGGCCCTTTTTCCAAATAAGGTCAAGTTCATAGTTTCTGGGGGTCAGGACATAGATATCTTTTGGGGGCTACCCTTCAACTGACTGTGGAATTCTAATATATTTAAAGTGTTGCCATATAAATGTATTCATGGTAGAAATCTTAAAACTTTATTTTCTACTAGTGAAATGTAGAAAATGTGGTAGAAAAGGATGGAAGATGAAAAATAGAAGGTAACTAAGGGAAAAGCTGTAAATGGCCTTGTATGTTTTAACATAGAGTTTGAACTTTACAACTTCTAATAGTTCCTTATTGCCCAAAGATAAATAGAAAGTGATCTGATCAGGTACATGTTTTATAAGAACTCTAGTAGTGGTGTCTAAGTTAGATTCAAGAAATTGAGACTAGAGGCAGGAAGACAGGTAGGAGGCCATTGCAGTCATCCCAGTGAGAGGTGCTGAATGGCTGAATTAGAAAAGTAGCAAAGACTATAGAAATAAGGAAATGGATGAGTAGTATTTGAGAGTTAAAATTGACATGGCCTTGATAATTACTGGATAAGCGTTGTGCTCAGCACTCTGGTCTCTACCGGTCATAAGGAATGTGTTGACTTTATTAACTCTTGTGGTAGCCCCCAATGACCTATGCTTCCTGATATTCATGCCCTTGTGTTGTCCCTTCCACAATGAATCTGGGCTAGCTCCGTGACCCACTTTAGTAAACAAATAATATCGTGGTAGTTCTGCGCCTAAACAATAAGATGGCCTGGCAGCTTCCACTTTTGTGCTTTTGAAAACTTTGAGCCACCAGGTAAGGCATAAAGCTTCCCTGCTACAGAGACCGCATGCACAGGCCATGGGTCAAGGAAGATTCCCTGAGAATAAATGAAGTGAGAGAGAAGCCCAGCCTTCCAGCATTCCCACCAAGGCTCCAACATGTAATGAGCAATTTGTGGGGTTCCAGTCAGTGAGGTCCCCAGATGAGTCTAGCTCCAGCCAACATTACATTGAGCAGACAGATCATAAAATAGTAATAACATAGTTGTTTTAAGCCAGTGAGTTTTGAGGGGGTTTGTCATGTAGCAAATCACAATAGCACTAAAATCCTGTGAAGAATGGTCTTATTGAGGACTTGTAAAAAATCAGCAAGAATAAAAATGTGTTTCTTCTGTATGATTTCTGATTATCTCTGATAGCTTGATCTGAAACATCTGCCATTTCACCAGTCTTCTTTTCAAATATTCTGCTCTGGTTCAGAAGACCTGGTGGCAGTACTCAGGTGTGCTGAGAGCCCCGGGCATCCACACCACAGAAGCAGGTGGCTGGTTGTTCAGGTTGGGGTCCTACAATAAATGAGGAGATATAAGTTAATTTCTTACTTTATATTATCTTAATATTTCACTCATTCTTTTCATTTCATGTCATGAAACACCCCCCCCAAAAAATTGGGAGGCAATTTACATGGGTTTTCCTGTATCTATAAATAACCAAAATTTAACAACCCCTTTTCAGTATTAGAACCTAAAGAGATTGAAAATTTGGGTCCATATTCCCTTGATTACACACATCTTTCATAGAGATATGGATTTTTTGTAAAAACCTGTACTGCAGATTTATATTTTCCCCATGTTTATAATAGTAGACTTTCCAAATTATGTGCCATCATGTCTAGGGATCTCTCACATACTAAGGCAGGCAGAAGGTTCAAAGAAGTTGGAGTCATGGGCCAGTTTCAAGCAGCATCATTCTACAATGAAATGTTGTATAAATGTCGTCACTTTCTATATGTGCTATGACATGAGGAAGACTGTGAAGCATTGTGTTGCAGCAATGAACAAATGAGCCAGACTTTGCTCTTTCTCTGAGCCTTTTGTTTCTACCAACACACAATTAGCTAAAGCCATGGGTCATTACCGAAAATATTAGAAATTCTTCCATTGATCTTTATGCCAATAATGATGGAGACCTGGTTTGGGAAGTTGACCAGCAGCTGGAACAGTGACTGTTCTTGAGCTGTTTTATTCCGTCAACACTAGTGTACAATGATCTACAGGTTCTCATCACACAGTACTGTGCTACACACTTCCAATTCTACACACGTTCAAATAATATAACACGTTCAACTATTTCCAGTCTGATGGTCTGACAGTCAGGTAGATTCATTACTACCTTGTGAATGATTTGGGGAAAAAAAAAAAAAAAACCTTTCCATGTGTATGTCTCTTAAATGGGTCCAGTCTGAAGGATTTGTATGCAATCCAATATTGCTTTTTAAATGTGTAAGTTTTTTTTCTATATATGTGATAATAACAATAATGAGATTTTTAAAAACATAAATCTACAAAAAGAAAGAGAAAGATGGTTAGAGCAACATGATTTAGGAAGCGGAACAGGAAGTAGATAAGTAATTATTAATGTAGATGCCTGGAAAAAGCTGAAACTCAAGCTATTAGATGAAGAGGCCCAGAAGCAATTTAATTCATGTAGACAAACGTCAGAAAGGCTCCATAATTACAACCCTCTAGAGTACCAAAGGGGCCTTAAACTGGTGGAAATCTGCAAAAGAAGCAGAGCAGCAGACACTTGACCTGCCTCACATAACTTAAAATTACAAATGAAGGGGCCAGCCCGGTGGCGCACTGCTATAGTGCACCGCTTGGGAAGCGTGGCGGCGCTCCCGCCGCAC